TGTTATCCCTTAGAAACCATAGACCTGATGGGTCCTTGCTAACCGACTGCGTTTATCTTAATAACTAGCCCCTCGCTGGCATTTGCGAAAAAATATACCCCGATCATCCTTGCATTTAATCAACTGCCTGCTCCTTCAGCTTATCTAAGTTTCCTGCAGTCTCTTCGAAGCAACATCCAATTTCTATAAAATGATTACTTCAACTTTCAAATCAAAGTATATTTATTCGAATAAATGTTACTTTTTGATATTTCTTTGTAATAACACAATATTTCTGATCTCATTAGATAACTACATATTAAAACTGATTCGGAGTTGCTGGAAAGGTCATATTAAAAATTCTTCGGAGTGCAAAGGGTTTTTTTTGCATACACACCCAATCGCTTCCGCATTTTTGGTAAATATCCACAAAAGTGTGTTTAGCACCGAAACGGTTAAACAAAGGCGCAGAGCTGTATCAAAGAGACAATAGCAGGAACGAAATTCGGGAGGAAACGGGTTAACTCGGTTGCGCCGTTGCACATTGCGCCAGCCCAAAGGACACACGCGGAGCGTATTCAAACAGAACACGGGATCCTTCGCCAGGAGCCGGGTACATTGTGTCAAGAGACCGAGAGCAGATGTAACACCGGTTCAAAAGCCGGGGCATATTTCCAGCCGTCCTTTTCCCACGCTCTTCCCCACCGCCGCGACGAAGTTCAAGAATGGACCTAACTTCCCTCCGACCCGCCCCCGACAGTTCCTTTTTCCGTTCTTCCTCCTCCGCCTCCTCCTCGGCCAGGCTCGCCTCGTCCTTTTTGTTCAAGATGCCCGCGCCTCGCCGGACCACCGTTTATAATTCCGGCGAAGACAAAGGGCTAGGCAAGAACACGAACGCGAGGTCCTTCCTCCCTCCACCCGCAGCTTTTTAATGCCGGATGCTGCCACCGGTCGGCCAATTTCCGCGGGAATTTTTCGCGGGGCAGGATGAACCGCGCGCCGCGAGCGTTGCCAGTCCTGAAATTAACTTCGGGAAAGGTTGCCGATTGTTGCTCGCTCTCCCGCGGAAGTTGTTCCGTCTATCCTTAATTGCCTTCGCTCTTGTTCCCCTCGTTTTCACGGGATCGATGGTATTGAAACGGTACGAGAAGCTGGTAGCATTTTCAGCCGTTAAGCCAGCGTTAAGTAGATTTTATCTTTTGATTTTCATCAATTTCAATGGAATACATTCTTTTTAGTTATTCAAGGATTCAGTTTCTTCTTTTCCAGTCGAGAAAGTTCTTCTTATAGCTCGAGTGTTGTATAATCATTTTAGAAACGTGGATTTTCTCGATGTTTCTTTTCCGTACTTAACTCCATGGCTTCCGAGCGACTCGCATTTATCAGTAACAAGGTTCCCGCGATATCGTCGGATTCGAAAGTGTCCGGGCGAAACAGAAACGCGGCTGACTTGGAAGCGATTAAGTCGATCAAACAATCGAGAAATTGAAGCGTCCCCTATTATCATCTCCATTGTGTCCTCCGGATCTGCTAACTCGAAGTTCCGCGAAAGTAATAATCGTAAGATCTATAATAACGATAACGCCGCGATAACAACAAGGCGAATCCATTGAATCCCAGCGCGTTTCCAAATCGCGAACACGCTCGTTCCGGTAATAACAGCCAAACGAATCGACCTGACACGATCGCCAACGACGCGAGCACACTTAACAAGAAACTCTCCTCCTCGTGTTCCTGTTGCAGCGCTCTCCGGCCCGCGTCCTTTCGCGAAGCGAGCGAGCGCGACCGCGAGATACGTAAACGAGATAAAGCGAAACCCGGGGAAAATTCGAAGCGCAATTGATAGTCTGGGGCGAATAACAGTCCGCCGCCGCATCTCGTTGACCCATTTCGAGGAATATCCTACCGGTTAACCATCAATTTTCCGCGGTATCGGCCGCGCTTAGTATTCCGCGCGGCGCTCGATTCGTCATTAAACGCTCGCCTTTTATCGCGCCGCGCGCCGGTTTGACTAAACTCTCTCGTCTCTCTTCTCTCGTCTCTCTTCCCGTTTCGTCTCGGTGGATTCCTACGCGGCGGAGATTATGGTCCTCGAAATCGACAGCGATGAAGGATATACGCGTGGGCGTGGCGCGGCTAAAGGATGGATGGAGGCCGTGGTTTCTATGTAAATTCGAGCCAAGAGGAAAGCTGCAACGCTGATCGAACACAGCCCGTCGTCCCGCAGGAAAATCCGTTTCCCCTTGTTCTTTGCGTTTCGGAGGGGGGGCATCGATCCCTCCCTCCCCCGCCGACACAGTGTAGTTTGTACTTTCTTTTCGACATTGTTCGCCATCCGCCCCCGCGCATATTTCATCGGGTCGGTATAGAACGCGTTACGGGGATCGCTTCGAGCAGCTTCTTACCGTCAGCCATATTTCCCGGATTTAATCTTTCGTACGGGAATAGCGGAGTATCTATAGATCGCGGGCTGTCCTTGATTCCGTCCTTTCGTGACTCTGGGATTCTCTTGTGCATTCGGGATTCGAGGATCGATTGATCTCTGATTTATCGATGAATCGCGAACATTCAAATTATTCGGGGTAGTATCACGTTTCTTAGATTAGCAGTTCGAAGTTAGCTGTTCATTCGGTTACCATTTTTCTGCTCTCTACAATCGAATAAACTGCGCAAACTACCAGAAGACCTAAATAACCCATCGGTTATCGCAGCGTTCATAACTCCTAACGAATCAACACGCTAATTACCGAGTACCATCGATTCCACGGAACCGTGACTCCAGTTTCAACCCACCCAGTAGATGGAAGATCCAACACGAACGTTCCATTTTTGCTGTTTTCGCGATGCTCGGAAACCGGTGTTGTTTACTAGACAGCCTAATATTTGACGGAGACCGATTACCCGATTTGCCGTGCAATTAAACCGACCACGAGCTATGTCGCTCGATATAATAGAAGGACAAAACAAAGAGGGAGAGAGAGAGGGAGAGAGAGCGGATGAAAGAGAGACAAAGCGAGAGACAGAGATGCAATTTTGGTATCTGGACAGCATTTACCTGCGTACGAATCGAATCCTGAATCGAACAGAGCTCTCTCTCTCTCTCTCTCTCTCTCTCGACGCGGTTTAATCTTTGTCAGATATCGTCGACGTCGGCCGATGCTCCGAAAACGCTTTGCCGGGACTGATTCAATTACGCTCGAAGCGGCGTTGTGGAAGCAACGAGCGCTTAATTAATGAAATCTGTGCCAGCTGCTCTGTTCCGTTCCACTCTCGCCTCTTTCTCCCTCGCTCTCTGCAGCTAGCCTTAAGCAGCCGACGATACCCAAGGACAGAACACGTGCTTCTCCCGGAAGTATCTCGAGATTCTTTTTAACGAATTATTAGCTTTCGTCGGCGAGCTGTTTGTCCATCAACGGGACCGTCGAAACGAGGCGCTGCGCCCTGTGCCACGTGTCGCTTAGACGGTCACGGTTTCGGGAAGAGAATTCGGTAACTCGGTTAAGTTTCAGGTTCCAGGTTCTTGCGACAGGAACTGTACCGAACCCACTCCGCCCGATCCGCTGATCTTAATGAAATTTCGATTAAAAAATTCTTGCTGCCGTTCGAGAATCTCATTACCGTTTCGCGTAAAGAATCGTATTTCACATTGTATTCTACGTGACATTTGAAATTCGGGACTCGTAACGATGAGATTGAAACAGAAACTGCAGAGTTCAAGTCTGAAATCTTTAGATTTCGTATTTGAAACCTTCAAACTCCGGCAAGCACATTCGAAAGAAACGGCCGGGACCGGTGACAATGGGCGTCATCAGTGCACGCGGTCTCCCGCGGATCGTAAAATGGAAAGAGAAAGATCCGTGAGAATCGCGAATACTTAAAACGAAAGCCACGAAAACGGGCGAGACCGTGGCGCGCGGTTCCAGGATCGCGAGGAACGTCGGAATTCATTATGCACGGTTAATTAATCATTAGCAGGGGCGAACCGGGGAATAAAAGCAGCGTATCCTTCTCGAATAGCCCCGGCATAATGCGATTTCTATCCGCGTTCTTTCCGCGACGATGGAGCACGGAGTCCGCGGCGTGTTTCATCGAGCGAGTCCACTTCATCGCGGGATTCCTCCGCGTCCGTTTATTTATTTTTCCCCCCTTTTCCGCCCGCGAGTCTCTCCCGCATTCAGCGATATCGGCGATTTTCAGTTTCCTACGCGGTGTTCCGTTCCTCGGCGCCCGAGGCTCGCTGAAAGGACAAGCACCGCGTTAAAACGGTGGCCAAGGTAAACGATCTTCGATCAACATGCAGCGGTGCATCGGTAATCCTGTAAAGCGAAACTCATCCGCGATGCGCGACGGCAGAGCGCAACACCGCAGCAGCCCCTTTGATGAGTCCATAAAGGCCGCGTTTCCATCGGCGAATTAAAAATCTTTTATTAAAGTCCCCGGCTGCGTGCCGATCCCGGGAATCGTAAAAATCGTCGCGCATACTCGAGGAAGTTGCGGGATTCGAAGTTTCTTCCCGTCGAGAACTTTTCTCTCCGTAAAATCGATTTACCTCTCTCCATTGAAACACACCCTTGCTTTCGTTGCGCGTAATTAAGAAATAATATTGGGCTTACGATGAGTGTTCCAGTTGGAATTGTTCGAAACGATTATTTCTGACGCAGGCTCGGTAGGAAAGTGGGATGAATTGTTTGATACATCTATTTCAACTAGAGATGTCATATCAACATTAGAAATAGATATTAAACGTCTAATTGGATATGACTTCAATATCCATTTTCCTGCTAACGGAATGTTTATGACAGAGCTAAGTTTCAAGAAGAAATATGCGATCACAGAGTAATTATCAATAGTCTCCAGTCTATAGGGATAAATTGTTTAAAATAAAGGGTGACTATGTTTATTTAAATTTGCGCGCATACACCAGCGTAGCGTCCCCAATCTAGCAACGAGAAGGAAAGACAAGAAGCAGAAGAAGAAATGCTGGAAGCAACTCTTAACCCGTTGACTGGTTCTTGTTGCAGGCCTCGTAGCATGTCTTGACGAGTAGGAGGGGCTCTTCAACGGGGTTTTCGGCAGACAAGGGTTCTCCAAAATGGCGGGCGGTCAGCAGCTTCCCGAACAGTACACGGTACCGCTGCTCGCTAGGGTCTTCCACAGCCTGCCGCACCTCAACGTCTCTCTTCACTCGGTCAACAACACCTTCAATCCACATTCCGAAATCTACCTAGAGGTGAGTCGTCTATATTCAACCCTCTAAAAATACCTGGAGACCTCGCGGTTTTAACGTTTCTCCCGGAAAAGCTTCGCTGCTGAATTCGACGAAGATGTACCTAAAAGTTCTAGATAACTTCTCCATCTAGTTTCAGATTGGGTAAACTTATTCTATCGTGAACCATTCGACTTACAAAAACTAATCGAGAATATTTAACTCGCGTGCTTTAGTGACCATTTGTTCGGTTCTACTTGTAACAAATAGCATCTCCATTGTTTATTAATTATTGAAACGTTAATAAGAACTGACGATTAGTACATGTAACGACGGACTTCGAGTAATTTCAAGAACTAATCGAGAATATTTAACTCGCGTGCTTTAGTGACCATTTATTTGGTTCCATTTGTAACAAATAGCATCTCCATTGTTTATTAATCATTGAAACGTTAATAAAAATTGAAGATTAGTCGATGTAGCGATGGACTTCGAATAATTTCCCAATGGCGATCCGAGTAACACCGCGTGAAAGACGAAGAAACGTCGTTCGAATCGACAACACGTCGGTGAATCACGAAAATTCCCTAGGATTCGATGGCCGCCGCCTCCGTCGCTGACCCATCGACATTGCCGATCGGTATTTCGCCCGGTCCGGCAGAAATAAATCGCGTGTTGCACGGTTAACAGGATCGCGATAGCAATCCCCCGGCCCCAGCGCCGGCTAACATCGATATCCGAGCGCAATCCGAACTCCGGATCCGTTTTGGCGACGTTACAAAGCATTCCCGTTGACTCCGGACAAAATGGCCCCTCGATCCTGTCCTGGTCCTTCGTAACTGCCGGAAGATTCTTTGGCAACGGCGCTCACGGCTCGCCCATCGGAGGTATACACTCTAGAACTGGGACGAGCGTGAGATAATGGACGTCGAATGTCGAAACTTTAACTTGCTCCAAAACACCCGAGTATCTTTCATCAGTTGTTTTTTCGGGCAACGCGAAAGTTTCAACAGAGGCGTTGAATCCGAACGAGTTATAGCTCGGACAACTGCGAACGTTGCTTTGATTAAATGCTCGGTCCACTTGCAATTCATGGCGCTACTGGCAACTTTCGGGATTTACTCTGTGCTCCGTACAAAATGGAGACGACGCAGTAAACGCTGCAGTAGAATTGTCAACCCTTTGCACTCCAAAAATTTGTCTCTAGAAATATTCAAGAATAAGGGAAATAATGGTATTTTATTTCCACATTTCGCGTATCAACAGATTACTCAAGACTTAATGTTAAATAGAGGCACCTTTCGAGTGCAAAGGGTTAATCGTATTTGTAACGCATTAATTAAAATAATCCTACTGCGAGGATTTCTATTTTCTATATAAAACGGAAGTGTCGATGATTTAAGTACGTTAGAATTATTAACGTACTCATCGGTGGAAATACTCAGTTTCCGTTTCGCAAAGATCTCAGCTTAATTTTCGCGATAAGAATTAATTACCGCACGCGCGATGCCGAAGTGCGAAGATTATCTCCGAGCAGAGATCAATCTCGACGAGTTTCACCGTGAAGGAAAGAGAGTTTGCGTCTTTTAATCACAAAGTTGTCCCAATTAGTGGAAGAGAATATACTCGAAGAAAGAAGCGGACGTTATTCGATTCGACGCCACGCGTTCGACGCTCCGAACACGTTCGCTTTTGCCCCATCTGCTCGTTTTATCGATCAAGATACACACACACCTACAGCCGTGAATCATCTCATACCTTCCCCGAGGAGGATATCAACGTTTCACGTGTTCGAACGTGTTCCCGACGCTTTTCGACTCTTACTAAATAAGATATACACCGCACCGAAATTTTAATATCAACGCAACGTTGAAAATTCAATAATATTCCAATAATATTCAGAAGATCACAATTATCGTTTGACTGATCAGACTCTAGCAACTAATTTGACTGGGCGTCACCGGCGATCCCATAACTGTCACCGGAAGTCCAAATGCTAGTCATCAGTTGCCATAATAGTGAACGCGTTAACGGCTACTGCCACGTGACTTCGCTCGCCTCGCGCAGAATTCTAATCGGAAACAGAAGAATCCTAATCAGCGATTGGAACTCATTCGGATTGTTGAATTATTACTAATGCCAAGCTAGCCAAAGCAACAATGCCCAACGGTCGTATATCTCTGAACTAAACAAAGGCGACAGAAAGCCAACCAGATGTATCTGGATTCTGTCACGCGAAGTCAAGAGACACTTTTCAACCTTTTGGCCGTTCGAGTCATTCCCGTTCGAGAACTTGAAAGAGCTACACGTGTTTCTCGAAGCCACAATAAAGTCACACTGTAAATACAGTTTCATTATTCAATCACCCATTTCCGATACAATCGATTTCTATTCCAAATGTTCTTCAAGGCCAATTAGGAAAACATTGATTAACCCTTAGCAGTCCTCGAGTCAGACTATTCTATTTTATTGCAACCTCTACCTGTTTCAACAATTTTTTCTATATTTATTTGTAGTGTCACAATTGTACCATTTAAAGGTAACATTTCAGCGACTCCCAAATATTCTTGAATAAATAAATAGAGCGTCGTATTAAGCTGTAGTTGAATGAACGTCGACGTGAACCTCAAAGTGAGAAACCAAGAGCACTTCGGACCGCAAAGGGTTAACGGAGTTACCGATGTCAACCCTGATTCGAAAGAAGAGCGTCGACCCTATGAAATATTCTCGTGTTACCCTATAGCGTAAGAAAACCGTCGAGGTTTGACATAGGGCATGGCCGAAAAAAGGCGAAGGAACGTCTAATTGCTGGTTCGGGAACGATTGAGTCGCGCGGTGACTTTTCGCGGCGAGTTCCGAGTCACGGTCGGCCGTTCCGAAGAATAAGGAGGCCCAGACGCGAAGTCGGTTCCCGGGCAAGGCTCTCTTCCGGCAGTGTATTCCTGGTTTCTTGTCCCGGCGAGAGACGGCTGTCCAAAAGGCAGCGGCGAAAGCTTCTGGCATCGGGATGAGGATCATACGGTTCTTGGCGGTGGCAGAGTGACGAGTGGGGAGAAGCAGAGCAAGATAGAGGCAGAAAAAGAGAGAGAAAGAGAGAGAGAGGGAGAGGGAGGGAGGCTCGGTGAGAGGGCATTGGTAGAAGACAGGCCGGTAGAAAGGAAAAGAGAGAGACATAAGGATGATGATGAGGAACGAGAAGGAAAAGGACGCGGGAGAAACGCAGCTGGATGCCGCGAGTGCACGGGAATCCAAGCTGTGTGTAACTGGAAAGCACAATGCCCGGGAAAGCTCAAACAATGCACAAAGGCTTTCGTATAATGTGCCCGGCGCAACGTGTGGGCTTTAACGGGCTCGGGACGACGGACCGGTAACTACTGACAGCTGCGATGCGGCTAGAATCAGTGTACAAATGATCGGTAAATTAATGGGAATCGCTGATTCGGTTGTTTGCTAGAGTCTAAAGTGATTTCGTTGATCCCGCGTTACTCTGTCGTGTTGTTCTTGAAATTGGTAGTGCTGATGGGGTTGAAACCTTTGGATCGGAACAAATTGGAGGTAGGGACTCTGAAGTGATTGAGACGTTTGGCAGTTATATTTTCAATTATCGAAGGGTTTGTTTAATAGATCTTTGAAATTTCTTAGATGGTTATAGTATACAATATTTTCAGTTCGAACGAAGGAACATTTCTATGAAGTTATATCATTCTTCAAATTGATAGTGTTGACGTTGAAATCTTTAGATCAGCTGAACAAATTGGAGATGGGAACTCTGAAGCAATTAAGACGTTAATTATCGAAGACAAGGTTTGTCTAATAGTATTTGTAATAGTATTGTTTGTATACAATAGTTTCGATTCGAACGGAAGGGAATTTCTATTTTCTTGGTGGCATTTTGAAGATCAAGCTGTCACGTGACAAGTTCACAGCCATTGCTATCCCCGGAACAGACTTCCCTCCCTCGCCAGCTTCTTGCCCCCTACTCCACGCCCATCGTGCTTCTCGTACCTCTCGACGAGAAGCACGATCGCCTCGTGCAACGTCTTTCGTTGCAGATGTCGAGTGCACGAGAACGACTTATTGGCTACAGAGTCGAGAGACGGATCTCTCTCCCTCTCTTTCCTCCCGGCGTTGCTTTCGATTCGATTGTCGCTCGTTCCGACCCGGTATGAAGAAGGCACCTCGACGCCGGGAACCGTTGATCTTTTTCCCCTTTATTCTATGGCTGACCGCGCGAGTGGTCTTCCTCTAATTATCAATCGGGCAGGTGCACAAGTAACGAAGGGTGAAGTGTGGCATGTGCTCCTGCCAAGAACGGCCCCAGTTACCAATATTATACGATTCCCAACTTTTTCCTCGGGAAGTCGGTTTCGATTGCATCGTCGGGATTCTCTATTCCAGTGGTTTACAACCTTTATGCTACTACAATTTTAAGTAATAACTTTCTTACGAAATAAACGTTACTTCGCTGAGCTTGTACTGTCACGTTACGAATTGAAGTTCATTTATTTGTAGACATCACGGAACGAATATTAATATTTTATTAGAAACTTTGGTGGCTCGATTCTTTAATGGATATAGTAATATAGACACGTTTTAAGTAATAATTTTATTATAGAATAAACATTGCTTCATTGAATTTGTACTGTCACGTAACGATACGAAGTATACTCATTTATAAATATTATAGTATGAACAGTAACTCTATTAAAAATTCTGGCGCCTCTATCTTTTAATAGATACAACAATATAGGCACGTTTCGAATAACTTTATTACAAAATTACTACGTTACCATGTGAACTTTATTTATTATAGATATCACGGTATGAACATTAATTCTTCGTTGAAAACAGCCTCTCAGGTTGGAAACCGCGGATCTATTCAATTGTTTGAAATATAATTCCAGATAGCGTTGCAAATGGTACGCAATCATCGAATACGAACGTGCCGATGTCGATGCTAATAGCGAATCCTCGGTTCTATCGGTATACCGATGATACCACTTCCATTTTCCCCCGGCGATCCC